AGTTATCTGTCTATCTATCCATCAGTCATGCAGTTATCTATCTATCCATCCATCAGTCATACAGTTATCTATCTATCTATCCATCAGTCATACAGTTATCTATCTATCCATCCATCAGTCATACAGTTATCTATCTATCTATCCATCAGTCATACAGTTATCTATCTATCCATCAGTCATACAGTTATCTATCTATCTATCCATCAGTCATACAGTTATCTATCTATCTATCCATCAGTCATACAGTTATCTATCTATCCATCAGTCATACAGTTATCTATCTATCCATCAGTCATACAGTTATCTATCTATCTATCCATCAGTCATACAGTTATCTATGTACGTCTACCCACCTGGATACGAAGCTCTGTAAAATGTCCTTGAAGGAATTATATCTGGACCTTTGTCTTCCAAGTCCACGAAATCGTCAATGTCTTTCTTGAGTGGCACGTGGGACCTGTACATACAAAAATCTTGACGTAAGTGCTAATTAGAAGCTTCTTATTCTTGTAAAAACTAGGCCTATCAGAACTTGTTACTAAGACCCGTTTCAACTCAGCCAGTTTTTTATGTCTATATAATTTTTAACAGATCTGTACACCAGAGTCTTCGAACTAAACACGATCGTTCTAGTCACCAATAAGAGCAGAGTTGGACTTTGCTGCCTGTTAATTGGCTGGCTTACTTCTTGACAATCATTACGTACACCAGCGCACCTGGTGTTGAGATTATGAAGTTCTTACTTGTCCATGTGGCAATTCACGTAAACACTCAACAATAAATTTATGGGTTTATATCATTTTAATTTGGCAGGTAGGAAATATGTATTTAATGTCTCGTCAACATACACAAAGGTACATTGTAGAAAACACAAGAAAGTGAATAACACGTGGAGAACGTGTAACATTATAGAGAACGTGAAACATTGTGATGAATGTGTAACATTGTAAAATGAACATAATAAAAAAAAGTCTAAAACAAAATAACGTGATAAAAACAAAAGGTTACACGAAGACTAAACAGGCCATTATGTTCAGTTATCGTAAGTTTAGATGTGTCTCTAATATGCGAGTGGTGGAAGCAACTATCCTTAAAAAAATTCATTGCAACATCTACGGGCAACATACACATTACAACATGTACGGGCAACATACACATTACAACATGCATGGGCAACATTGCCCGTACATGTTGTAATGTGTATTGTAATGTGTATGCATGTACGGGCAACATACACATTACAACATGTACGGGCAACAACAATACGTACTTGTAATCCTCTTCTCTGTCGACTTGACCTGGGAAAGAAGAAATAAAACGTAGTTTTGTCAGAACTAATACAATGGTTAAGTCTTGTCTACTTTAATGCGACCTAGTGTTAATTAATGACTTTTACAACAAAATCTGTAGTGGTGTTCGTCACATTATCGGCGATTTGAACATTTTTATAGAATTAACAGCACACATTTAAAAATAATAAAAATAACTGTATTAGGGACAGCCTCTTAAATTCACGGGTAAGTCTAAGGGCTTTTAACGCTAAAAATCTTGTTTCGATACCCGCGGTTGGCAGAGCACCGCTGACCCATTGTGTATCTTTGTTGACCGGTGGGTAAGGGATAATTTTACAGACTTACAAAGCTAAGATCCGGGGTTCGATTGCCCGTAGTTGACAGACCTCAGACAGTTCAATGTGTAGCTTTGAGCTAAAACAACAACAACAATACACAGACATCTGAATTTTACTGGGTAAAAACAAATCAGACAATTATAAATAAATTAATATTTATCTACGGAACTTATTCGGATTATAATATCTAATTACTAATAATAATATTTATCTACAGAACTTATTCGGATTATAATATCTAATTACTACTAATAATATTTATCTACAGAAGTTATTCGGATTATAATATTTAATTACTACTAATAATATTTATCTACAGAACTTATTCGGATTATAATATCTAATTACTAATAATAATATTTATCTACAGAACTTATTCGGATTATAATATCTAATTACTAATAATAATATTTATCTACAGAACTTATTCGGATTATAATATCTAATTATTACTAATAATATTTATCTACAGAACTTATTCGGATTATAATATCTAATTACTACTAATAATATTTATCTACAGAACTTCTTATTATTAGTAAACAAAATATCCATGAATACTGTACAAACGAATTATAAAAATGACAAAACTCGAGCAGTTGGCCATTTCTTTGCACGATAATAAAGGTTGTACAAACGAGTTGATGTTTGATAAGATTTTATCAATAGCCGCTTAACAACAAACAAGACATTTATATTTTGAAGATTCATTAATTCGTATGGCTCTCTGTGCTCTGCCCACCGCGGGTACTGAAACCCAATTCTTAGCGTTTCAAGCCATCAGACTTACCGCTGAGCCATTGATGGTGGTGGTGGGGATCCTGTAGGTAATTTCAAATAAGAATCGTATTCTTTCCTAATGTTAACCACTCACGGGAACCATTTCTTTCACTAATCTTAGATCCCTTAAGCCTAAGTAGGTCGAAAAACCAAACATTATGTAGTTATTTAGATCTATCAAGTATGCACATTTCAGTTAAAAAACTGGACAGAAATAAGACATGTAAGTTAGCTAGAATGTATAGATGATAAATTCTCTCTTTAATTTAAAAATATATTTATATAGTTTTATTTTTTCAATAAAATATTCGGTGAGAAACTCCTATGTTTGAAATTTTGAAAACTTGAAGTAATCAGATATCGTTGCGTCATATTTACCTCTGGTTAATTTCTTCTTACTCCTCACTTTGAGGATTATCACCACGACCACAGCTATGAGAACGAGAGTAGTCACACTGACGATGAGGATGATAAAGATAGGTCGAACGACTAAGATATTTTGGGAGAGACCTTGAAGAGATGAAGTTCTATAATTAATGTTATTTATTTAAAAAAATCTAAAAATCACAACTACATAAAGATGTCAGGTGAACACTTCTATTTATACACTTATAAACACGTTATCTGGTGAATTTTATAATAATTGTGTTCACATCTCAGTTGTTTGTTTGTAAAGATATTCGAGAACTAACTAGGCTAGCCGTCCCTGATTTTAAACCACAGACTATAGAGAAGGCAAGCTAGTCAACGTTTGGGCGAATCTTTACCAATGAATAATGAGATTGACTGTCACATTATAACGCCCCCACTGCTTAAATGGTGAGCGTGTTCGAGATGGGATTCGAACCTGCGACCCGCAGATTACTGGCCGAGTATCCTAACCATTAGGCCATGCCAGATATTAGTTGATAAAACAGGGAGCGATTGGTATGTAGGGATAGGTCCGGTTAAAGATGGCGGCCTGTATATTGCGTATGGTAGCGCGTCGCCAGGATGTCGGCAAAACCCAGCCAAAGGGCTAGAGACGAAAAGCCCTTCACTAATCATTCCAAAACTACCACTTAAAGTTTGGCCAATCTTCCTTGACGTCTAGAAAACGAGCCGAGTCTCTTCGCTCCTCTTCACCATCAGCTGTAACCCGTAAGCCACTATTCCCTAGGATGTCTAGAGCATCAAGTGATCCGTGATATTATCAGATCAGACTTGATCAGATGTATCAAAAATAATTGTAATGAAGTCTGATAATTGCACTCGGATGAAGATGAAAGGTGGAAAAAATCCCCAATAACATTTTCATAACGTTTCGCTGAATGATCTAAAACAAGATCTAACGCGCAGGTGAATATCCAATGATTTCAGTAAATACGATAATGAAGTCGTTAATTACTCCGGTTTTAATAAAATTAACTCATATTTAATTGTCTTTCGTCACTTCTTTCGAACGGGAAAAAGAAACAAATGTTTGATCTATAAAGTCTTAATGTTTTCACGGTTTCCTCTGTTTAGTTAGCGAAACGAAATCCGAAAACTGTAAAAGTTAACAAAAATATGAAAAACAAAGTTACATAAGTTGACTGAACTTATGCAAGCAGTGTATCGCAAGTTACCGAAATTAATTATCTGTAGAGTCTTTACTCTGTTTTTGCTGCTACAAACAAGAAAATGTTACTGAATAGGAAAGTTTCGTCCCTGGTGGAGTTCCGGGCTCTGAAGTTATTCTCCTTCAGCTTTTGAAAATATAGATTACCAAAAAACATCACGTGAACATAAATCAGAAGAACGAAGTCTTTACTCTAAGTTTTAAAATATTCTGTGCAACATCAGAATAACGTATATACGTGACTTAAACTCATTGTTTGGTATCAGTACAACAACAACAACGTTTTATTGACACAGGTATACCTGTTTAAGTTGGATCTATTGTTACGGTTACTACGCCGTTACAAGTATGTATGTATGGATGGAATTGGTTCTGTTTGAAATAGATATTTATCGGCATAAACATTGGATGAAACTACAAGGACGATATGTCTTGTCCATGAAGTAATTACATTTTCTGGGACGCGACAGGAATGAGATATCTGTTTCCATCCTTAAATAAGCACGTTTTTGGCAAGCCGATCTGGTGGTTTATATTTCGTTCCCTATTCATGAATAACCTTACATAAGCTTCTGTTATATTTAATTTAAAACTCCAGTGGCTTTTTTCTGCCCAACTATAACATAATAATAATATCCTAAGTTTATTTTAAACGTGTTTTAGATTGTTTAAACTATATGGGTATTAGTATAGTCCTTAAATTATTTAATAAGTTTTAGTTTTTTAAGCTAAAGATGTTTTAATGAGTACTCTGGTGGCAGATTTCAAATTTAAATCCTTACTCCGAATTTCAATTAATGAAAGATCTGTTTATTTTTGTGGGATTTCGTCCCACGCTACTCGGGGGCTTTATGCGCTAGCCAACCCCAATTTTTAGGTGACAGACTAAAGGGAAGGCAGTTAGTCAAACATTAATGTAATGACATTCTAATTAAAAGTAATCCCTTGTAATTACGCGTCTGGGCCATTTTTTCCTGCTTTAAAAAAACACATTGTTGTCTGTAGAGAGTAATAGTAATAGAACCATATATATGATACAATATTGAATCACTTATATCAAATAAAAATATTACTTTACAAAATAATGTATACTAAATCTGAACGACAGTTAATTTGTTAATGTATTTCAGTTTCTAACGATAAAATATGTTCAATCTGTGTTTATAATGGCAACCAAAGATCTGGTCTGATAGACGTAACAAAAGATGTGTTCTAATAGACGTAACAAAAGATGTGTTCTTAAAGACGTAACAAAAGATGTGTTCTTACAGACGTAACAAAAGATGTGTTCTTATAGACGTAACAAAAGACGTGTTCTTATAGACGTAACAAAAGATGTGTTCTTATAGACGTAACAAAAGATGTGTTCTTATAAACGTAACAAAAGATGTGTTCTTATAAACGTGACAAAACATGTGTTCTAACAGACGTAACAAAAGACGTGTTCTTAAAGACGTAACAAAAAATGTGCTCTTATAAACGTGACAAAACATGTGTTATTATAGACGTAACAAAAGATGTGTTCTTATAGACGTAACAAAAGATGTGTTCTTATAGACGTAACAAAAGATGTATTCTTATAGACGTAACAAAAGATGTAT